CCATCTCCACGGTTTTCTACATCCGTCCAAACTTTTAAACTCTTATCTATTCTTCTTTTTCCGAACAAACTCTTTGTCTTAGATGCCAAAATTTATCGTCATAATTCTTACCTTCATAATATTTACCTCTCTATAGGTTTCTTCCATACATTGCCTACCAAAACTGTTAGTCATAAAACTCACAGTCCTTACCTTTTCCCCACTCAAACGGCCAAGTCCTCAGTTACCAAAATTCTTCTAACCTCTACTCTCAACATTTGGATTGGTCATCCACATTTTTCTTCTCTGAATTAACACAATTTTATTAAGAACAAATTTGATGCCTATTAAGAGGAACTAAGCAAAACATCAACAAAGTGCAAGTTTAGGGTAATAGTTTTAGTACAGTCTATCAAATTATGCTTTCCTATAATCCAATAACTTTTTTGTACTCAATGATATGAACAATTGGATTATTGGTAGTGATGATTTCTTCTGTCATCATCAGCAGCAGCAGCATATTTGAGTAATAGAAGATTACGATTTAATAGCCATGGTTGAAATAGTTTGGCCACAATATTTGACTTTGGTCAAGAAGAATTGTTTTTTTTTCTGTTATCTTTTCCTTTTTTTTTATCAATGGTTTGTCTTTTGAAAAATTATGAAGGTTATTATAGTCATTGTCTATCATTAAGGGAGGTAAGTTTAATATTGAAAATCTCAAGGGAGCTCAGTGAAATTGTCAGGAAATTATCCCTTGAATTTACGGGGGCTCCAAATCGACAGTTTGTCTGACAACATGAAACCATCAATAGTTAGTTCTGTCTAGATGTGCAGCGTACGGGGCCAGTGTTACGCACATTAACGTCGGTTTGACTACCAAATGGAGAGTTGATAAGGCTTGGAATTGAGACCCCAATCTGGCAGCATATATTTGCGGGCATGAGGGTATCTAGCTGTGGAGTGTCAGAGAATCCAATGAGGCTCTAAACACAACTTTTTTTTTATTTTGAAACTAAACACAACATTTTAAAGATTTTTAGTAAGCCAACATCGCTGAGAAAACAAATCAATTAGGAGGATCTTCACATGAAGAATTGATTATATTTTACTACTCCCTCCGTCCCACTTTGATAGTCCTGTTTTTCTTTTTCGTCTGTTCCAAATTGTAGTCCATTTTTCAATTGAAAAATGTAGTTGTCTTTTAATTTCTCTAAAATACCCTTATTTAATGTAAATTGTTATTACTTATAAACTACCTTATTTAATATAGATTGTTAGTATTGAATATAACCTACCACATTTAATGCATTTAGATTTTTCAAAACATATTGATATATGAAAAGCCAACTTTATTTAATATAAGGGTATTTTAGAAAAATAGCAATCTAAATTTGTTTTTTCAATAAAATTAACTACTTTTTCTTAAACTGTGTGAAAAAAAACTAGGACTATTAAAATGGAACAGAGGGAATAATAATTAGTAGGATGTTTACATAAAGAAGTGATTGTCCTTTTATTTTGACAAATTATATAATGGGATATCCTTTGATGTCATTCTTGGAAATTTAGAAACCTTGTAGGAATTGGGGGTCTCAGGTAACCACTTCGTCTTCTTTTGCCCTTTTTGTTAGCGAGGACAAGGACAAAAAAAAGGGTATCAAAGATTGAAGGAAGAGATAAATGTTACTTTCACTAATTAGGATTGAAAATTGAATTAAAATCACTTTTTTGTTATCGAAAGGAATAAGGGAATCCGCTCTTTATATATTATAATAAATATTGGAAAGTTAAAATCTTCTAACATACATGTGTGTGTGTGTATATATATATATATATATATATATATATATATCCATGTATCCATCTATTTCTACATGCTTATATCTATATTAGACCAAGTGTGGTGTTTAAATTCATTCACTAGTTTGTCAATTTTCTTTGCCATAATACCTTGAATATAGATTTTAAAAATATTGTTATGCTTCCAAAGTTCCAAACATGAATGTCGTTTCTGATATTATATTATTGAAGCTATTCCATAACACAAAACTTTAGCTTTTACTTTAAAACATCTAATTAGACATGTCAATGAGTTGGATCTTATCTAAATTTAATCCAAACCCAATAAATCCAATATACTTTGATAGGGTTTAGATTTAATTTAGGGATAATTTTAGAAACCTCCCCTGAGGTTTCTGACAGTCTCACTCACCTCCCCTGAACTTTGCAAAATATCAGATACCTCCCCTGAACTTATAGTTGGAGCAACAAGATCAGCCCATGTTAGAAAAATGAGCATTAAAAAAATATTTTGAGGAGTGAGATGATATTTGTGTTCCACATATTCCTTTTTTGCTTATCCACAACTTGAGCTAAAGCAAAAGCAAAAAAAAGAAGTAATAAATTGAACCAGATAGAGACAAATGCAGATGGCTTTTTCAAGCAATGTTACAATGCTATTTATATTTTTTTGTTTTAGCTATTAGACATTTATTTAGCTAATATGATCATTCAATTAATTGAAACATACTTCTGGTGATATAAAAAAAATGTATAGTATTATAATTTGAGTGATTAAAAGTATAAATTTTTATTAGTTAAGTCATAAAAAATATTATTTGAGTGATTAAAAGTATAAATTTTTACTAGTTAAGTCACAAAAAATTTTCACTATTTGGTTAATTGAGTGAATAGCAATTGCAGTTAAATAAATAGTGTAACGATCAAATAACCAAATTCTCAATAGTTTAATAACTCTTTTTGCGATTTTCTCTGTGGAAAATGAAATGAAGTAGCAAGATACTTCATTTCATTTAGTGCTAGATACCTTAGTTGACATTTTTTTTAAAAAAAAATTAATTCACACTGTAGTTAGTCGAATTTATTCAACAAGCTCGTTTGAATACCAGAACTTAGGTAGATCCGATTTTCAAAAAATTCAATAACCCAAATTGTGTCACATCACTTTATGAGATGATGTAATATGTAATTTACGTCATTGAATTTTTGAAAACCAAATTTACTCAAATATAAGTAATGAGTTACACTAGATAATTGTCTTACAAAAAAAAACATGAAATACATGACTTTAGAGAAAGGTAACACTAGTGCTAAACTCTTCATTGGTGATTGTACTACGAATAAAAAGTGTGAAGTGGAATAGAAAGTATATCATAAGTTATATCAAAAGTTATATCTCTATTACTCATTTAACTAATTCTGTCAAAATAGCTTCAAAATATATCATAAGTTATGAGGGTATATCTGTCAATTCATCATCAATGATATCACAAATAGGGCCCAATAATCTGACAAGGGAGGTATTTGATATTTTGCAAAGTTTAGGGGAAGTGAGTGAGACAGTCAGAAACCTCAGGGAAGGTTTCTAAAATTATCCCTTTAATTTATCAAATTTAAAGCCTATTCAGACCCAAACCCGGTAAGAAAGTCACGTGTATAGGTAGAGTTTGGTTTTCTATTATTTAGATCCAAATCCAGATCCGACCCATATTATATATATATATATATATATGTGTATGTGTGTGTGTGTATATATATATATAATCTATCTATGTCATAGTAAATTGCTCCAAACGTTTTCAGAAAAAAGAGAAAAAGCAAAAGCAAGTAAATGAAAGATTGAATGTAGATGCAGATGAAACTTTAAAAATAAATAGTTTTAGTTGACTATAGTTCTTTCTTTGAATTCATAATATTGCATTTAACATCTTGAATATTAATTTTATTATTTAAAAATAAAAATAAGATGATATTTATGTTATTTTTGAACTCTATATATTTTCAAAATATTTTTACTTTAATTCTTTACTGTATGTTTAGAAAAATATCCATGGCTATCTGGATACTCAAACTCATGAGGGTTCAGGTATAGGTTTACTTTTTCAAACCTATAAGGGTTTGGTTTTGAATTTTTATCTAACTAAATTTAATGAATTTAGATTTGAATCAAAAGGATTCAACTCAAACCCTATCTATTTACATACCTACATCCATTTGAATCCGCATGTTCTAATTCATTTATGTCATATGTATAAGCTCAAATGTGCATATCTGAGAGTATGTACACATGTGAGTGATTATATTTTTATATAAGGTTAATTTCATATATTTCCTACAAAATTAATTAATATAGAATCTATGGCCGTTAATCGATACTTAATCACAAAGTTTCCAACATTTACACACTTTATATGAATATGAAATTTCTTATTCCCTTTTTCAAGATTTTTCATATAAGGAGAGTTATTTTTTCTTTTTCTTTTTTTGGTGTAAACAAGAAGGGATTCAATTTAAAGAAATCAGATAAATTCACTTTGTCCCCTGAACCTTAGGGATTCAATAACCACTTTGCACCTCCCAAAGTAGCACTAAACTAAGTTACTTTTAAAAAAAATTCAAAGAAAGTGTTTGGTCAAATGCATGTTGGAGCGAAAGGGAAAAGACCATTTTATCCTAATTGAGTGGTAAAATTACAAAATTTCCACACAATTAGAGGGAATAAAAGAAGTGCAAGTCACATGAGCAAAAAAAAAAGAGAGAGAGATAGAGAGAAACAAATAGGATAGAAACATCTAAATTTTAGTCGTGCCTACTCTTCAACCTACAATCAACCATTAATCACCATGATTGATTGAATCTATTGAGGAGATGAATTTAGAGAAAAGGAGAAAGTTCCCATATGTAAGAAGCGAAGAAAGCGAAATAAAAGTAATACATGTGATTAGCCTTAAGTAAATGAAATTTTCGTGAACTTGAATGTGACTCTGGATGTTCTTGTTCTCATCAAAAGCTATTTTTGTATTGCTGAAGTACAAAAATAGACTTGAAATTTGGCCATTTCATAATGGTGTAAATATAGAGGGGGCAAAGTGCCTATTTTATGGGTTGATGGGAAAAAGTGAACCAACCAACAGGAGTCAGGGGGCAAAGTGAATATAACCAAAACAAAAATTGGAAAAAAAAAATTTCATTCCCCCCTAGTCCCCTTAATTAATTAGTAGAAGATCTGAGATGCTAAAACCCCGCTAAAACCTTCCAACGCCGATAGCCGCCACGCCACAGTAAGATGCATTTCCTCCTCCGTCGCCTTCGACATTCCGACCACCACCACTACCAGTTGCAGCTTCGATGCCTCTACGACGCGGCGGCTTCGGTGAAATGCGTCCGTGACAGGGGACTCGACCACGCAGTCGAGAGAGAAAGAAACCTTAAGCCAGTGCTGAACCTAAAAAATCTCATAAAATCAGAGCCTTCAAAGTCTCTCCCGCTGTCGCTGATATCTCAATCCAGAGATTCTCTTAAAATTCCAATTCGTCCCATTGAATTCATCCGAAAATTCCCTTCAATTTTTGAAGAATTTCTCCCTGGTGGCATTGGCATTCAACCACACATCAAGCTGACCCCGGAAGTGCTGAATTACGACAAGGAAGAAGAAATTATCTACCAAAGTGTAAACTACAGGCAAGATGTTGCTGACCGTCTTTTAAAGCTTTTGATGATTCGTAGAATTAACAGCATTCCACTGAGTATCATTGATGGGCTGAGGTGGGAACTGGGTTTGCCTCAAGATTATGTAAAAACTGTTGTTCCGGAATTTCCAGATTATTTTAGAGTGAGAGATGATGCAAATGGAGGGTTTTTGGAGTTAGTTTGTTGGAGCAATGAGCTTGCAGTTTCAGCCTTGGAAAAGGGGAAGGAGCCAATTGAGTTTACTTTCAAGTATTCCAATGGTTTTGAGATGGATAAGAAATATAAAAAATGGGTGGATGAGTGGCGAAAGTTGCCATACATCTCACCTTATGAAAATGCCCTGCATCTTGCGCCAAAAAGTGATGACTCCGATAAGTGGGCAGTCGCAGTTTTACATGAGATTCTTAATCTTTTTCTTGGAAGTAAAGGAGAGAGGGAGAGTGTACTTAGCTTAGGCGAGTGGTTGGGGCTCAGGTCGAGGTTTAAGAGGGCATTGTTACAACATCCGGGGATATTCTACGTGTCAAGTAAGATTGGAACTCATACGGTGGTTTTGAAGGAGGCTTATAAAAGGGGCATGTTGATTAAGAAGGTTCCTTTGATGGACATGAGGTACAAGTATGTTCAATTGATGAACTTGGTGAAGGAGGATAAAAGATCGAAGAGTGTAGAGCAAAAGAAGAGTCGTGATCTGAAGGGAGATCAAGGGGAAGAAGCATTGGAAGATGATGAAAGTCGTGCGGAAGAAGATGAGGAAATGCATGATTTGTCTGATGAGGAGAGTGATTGTGAATATGAAGAAAGAATGAATTCAAAAAATAGGGGAAACTTATCAGGGAAAAGATATAAAGAGAAGGAGTCTCCAAGAACTGTGTTGGGAAGATCACCTGGAAGAAACTCGTCCCAAAATGCAGGCAAAAGTAACACTAAATTTCATCTAAGAACAGAGATTCAAGATTGTAAAAGTGCTTGTGGTGGATCACTGGAGAGATTTAATGTTCCAAGAAGAAAGAATAAGTCTGTTTCAAGGGAAAGGGCTTCTACGTAGGGGGTGTTCAATGATGGACGGAATCAACCAGAAAAGTAGGTTTCTTTTTGCTTCATAAAGACTTTATGATTTCATAAAGCTATAATATATTCCTTTCTGCTGTAACATTATGTAACAGAGTCTTTACCTATTAATTTATTTCTCTGATGAATCCATGAACTAGTTACGTTTCAGCTTTTTTGTGTTCAGTTTGTTGCAAGGTTTTCCTAAGCCAAATATTGTGCCAGTAATATTGATCTTTTGTTATTTGTGTGCTGAGGATATGCTTCTAGGCATAAAATTCCCTTCTCCATTATCTCCTGTTTTATCACATAGGCCTTTACGGTACCACTTAAATTATGGTGCAATGCTCTTGCTTTACAGTATTTTGAATTATTTAATTACCTTTCAAGAGAATATGCATTCTTATGGCTTAGGTGTTCAAGAAAATCTTGAAATTCTCAAATGAGCATATGCATGTCCTAACATTCAAGGCCTGGTTCAAGATGCCTTATTATTGAAGACGATAATTTGTTTCCTCAAGCATTAAGTATAGTACCGCAGGACCATGAATACGAGTTCTCTTCCTCAAGTAGTAAATATAGTAAATAATGTTCTTACAGCAATGTATTTCATCTTTTATTCCAAATCCACCTCAACTGTAATTCCGCCAAACTATATTGCTTATCTGGTTCAGAAACATATGGTTTCTTCATGTCTCCTTCCTCCACTCGTCGCCTGTCTTCTATTGCTCTAGCTGCTCTTCAATTTTGACAATCTAAACTAGTTGCTCTTCTGCTCATCGGCTAAGGCACTCCAGCTTTGAAAAAGGTAAAGGAATGGATCTTTTTTGGCCTGCGCTAAATCCAAAGTTTGGATGCTCCGTGCAAGCGGAAAACCTTTTCCTTTGTATTCCTGTTTAATTGCTTTATGCTCTAGCTACCGTTGATTCTTTAGCTTTTCTAGACAGGCCTGTATAGTCTAGGAAATCTTTTGCTAATGGCTATTTGTATTCTCAAAAGCGGGTTTCTTCCTTACCCTGCATGGTTAGCACAAGTGTTGTGAATGTTCAAGAAATATGAGGTTTGATTCTGAATTATTTCACGTTAGTTGTAATCAGAAATGTAGTTTCAGATTTCCATACCTATCATGCTTGGTCCATCTAATATAGAATGACCATTACAGACCTGTTTGATGATACTTTTCTAGTATAAACAGGATGATAGTGTGGGCTTGGGGTTGGGAAGCCCGATGTGCGCTCTTTTTGCTGACTCTTAGATCATTTGTGATTTGATTTTTTTTGTCCATCTCTACTACTTTTGTTAGATCAAGTACTTCGATATGTGTGTTTATGTATATTAGAGATGGAGATGGGACATGTATAGTTTTACTTCTTCTTTGCCCCTTAGCCTGCTATTGCTTTCACTATTTTGACTTGAGAAGTGGGAATCTAAAACTAGTCTAGAGAGTAACCATGCCCTTAATTGGTTCTTTCTGGTTGCTGCTTTTTTTTTTTGAACTTTTCTTTTGTGCTTCTTGTAGTTCTGTTTCTCCTTTAATCTTTTTTCTTCTTTTTTCTTTTTGGGTAGGTATCTCCTTTAACTTTCTTTATGTTATAACTATTTACTCATATAGGATATGTTGGTTATATATTTTGACATCCTATTCAGTGTTTATTTCTGTTCAAGAGGTGATGGTCCTTTGCGTGAATATCCATTGCTCTTTTATCTATATGTTCTCTCTCTCTGGGGATGGAACTGGGGTTTTGAGGTAATTTCCAGAATTTTGCTACTTGAATTCATGAGTGGTTAACTCTGAGAGAATGTTATAATACCAACTTGTACTTCTATTCTGATAAATCCGCTTCTTATTAAAGAAATGATGAGCTGGGATCTATTCTTTATCAAACTTTTAGGTACCTTTTAAGATTGGTAATCATAGTACTGCTTAAAGGATGCATTAATTTTCCATTAATATAGAAAAATAGTTTTAAGCAGCTGCATGAAGTGAAAATTCCTGAAAGTGGAAGATTTGATATGCTGTACGTTCCTGCCATGATAAAATACTTTAGTAGCACTGCACCTACACTAACCGAGCATGAAAGATACCTCCATCCACCTTGTAATCAACATAACCATGGAGTGCATTGTTGTGGATCTCCAGAAGTGGAGTGTGCTCCAGAATTTTGCCTCTGGTCATCTCAAGGGAGGTGATGCCCATATGGAATGAAATCAAGAAGAGCATTAGGAATATAATGACATCTTAGTCTTTTGTAATTAGGTCGAGTACATGAGCTGCTGTTTGGTACTATAAATAAAACGGAAATGGGGCCTTAATGACAACAATGAGGCATCACTACTCACCCTTGCTTAAAAGTTCAAACTTCTTAAAATAAGCTTAGTCACTTTGAGTCTGTAACCAAGTCTGCAATGCCAAGATTTCGAAGAAGCCATGGCGGTTAGTCATCATCTTAAGGTAACATGAACATGCAAAAGCATGCCCATGTATGGTTACTAATTGCCCAGGTGCGCAGAATTAAGAGCATGAATATAATAATATAATGGTGTCCTAACCTTAACCGTGGCTGTTGAATTTTTAGATTTCTTCGTGGATCAGGAACATAGTTTGTTCTTGGTTAGTGTTTGCCACATGAATCATGAGTTTGTTTTGTCTTTTCTAGTCTTTCTCATGAATCAGGGGTTGTGGAAAATAAGAACATCAGAGAGTTCACTCGGTAAAAAATCTCTGCTTTCCTATCTATGGTGAAGCCATCTATTACCTATAAGCTTTTCAATACATCATATTACTATTTTATGGTAATGGATAGCCAAATGTTCAGTTGCATCCCCTTTCTTTGTGCACGGGTTTAGCACTATCCTCATAGGGAATTTTTAAGTTTGAAAGATAAATAGGATACAAGCAGAGGACATTTGCCAACTTCTTCATCGTTTCGTCGTCCTTTGTCACCGGCTGATGTGTGCTGCGCATGACTTCTTTTATTTTATTTTATCTTTCGGTCTTTTCACCCTTGTTTCTTTCACTTCTCTCGCTGGTCTCCCATGACCTGTGATTTTTATTATTATTTTGTTTTTCAAAATCTCACTTCTATTCTCCATATCCTAAATATTTCTATGCTTTGTTTCTCTTATAATACCATCTCTTCTTCCCTCCCCTGAATAAAGAGAAGAGAAGCTACAAGAACGCAAAGTAGGAGGAGTGAAATTCAGAGGATGAATACTGTGCTCTTTCAGATTACTACCATCAGGTCTCTCTTTATATCTGTTTTTGGCTTTTTTCACAAGATTTGCCCTGCTCAACATGGAATTTTCTTTATAATTCTTTTCTCTGAATTGTATTTTTTCCATGCTTTCTCTCTAAACAGGGATGGCCATGGAAGAACATCATCAAGAACTGTTGTGTGTGGGCTTCTCTTTCTCTTATCTCATCAATCGGGTTTTCTTTTATAGTGGTCTCCAATTGTGTTTTGGTTATTTTTTCGTTATTTCTTATCTTAGATTTAACCCTTTTGGTTTCCCTTTATTTCGTCCTGCATATAATGTTATATTCAGGGGTTTTGGTAATCTTGATATGATATTAATGATGCAGGTAGCTTAGTCCAAACTTTAGGAAAGGTGGATTGTCATCAGGAGAAGAACTGCTTTTATATTAGGTATAGGGATGCTCTTCAGAAGCTTTGTAGTTATTGATGGTCAATCAGAATCATACTGCAGAAGGCTTGAGAAACCTCTTATGTGACCTGCAGAAGCAAATTACTGATGTGAAAACCTTCTATTGACTGAACCAGTACTTATGTTTTCAGTAGGTAGCATCAGCAACAATGCTTTGTGTGGTTGTAGGTACAAAGGATGGCAAATGAAACTGGGTTTGGACTTAAGTGATTAGATTATCTTCCTGGAGAATAAATATCTACATGTTTGACTATTAATGTGTACCAAACTATGTGTTTCTCTATGAATATGAGTAATGTATAATTCTGGAGTGCAACTTTGCTGTGGTTGATGTGTGCTGTTTCATACAAAGCATCCTTCAGGTTCAGTACACTCTATTGTTGAACAATCAGTTTTTCTATTTTATGTAAACTGATATCAGCAGATTGTTTCTTGCCATGTTATGACTTCAATCTTTTGCTATGTTTAGGGTTTTCTGTAGTATAATTCTATGTAATTTAAGTTAAATCCCCTCAAAGACCTTTGCTATACTCGCTAGGCCCCCATAAAATGCTGGGTTAATCCCTAATGCTCTGCCGTTCTTTTATAACTTGATGGGGATATGATGGACCAAGAAGGACAGCCATGAAGGTATTTATCTTCCCCTATCTCTTGCTATAGGTAATTCTGGCTCATGCAAAACATGATAGCTTGAGAAGAATAGCTGTTACTTCTGCAACCATGGTCTTTCGGAACATTTTAAAATTTGTTGTTCTGTTGGTTTATCAATCAGATTCAGGCAATGATGCATAAAGACAAACAAGTTTGGCTCTGACTCGTTTATGCAAGTGCCTGATGTTGTGTAGTATTTGCCTCTGAGATATCAGAAACTGCAAGCCGCTTATGAAGACAAGGTGAAATGTTGCAGCAAGCTTCACATTTCTGGATAAACTTCAAGACCAAATTATAGGTATTGAGCTTTGTGCACCATATCTGGATATTAAGCCTGCATATGCTTGTTACTCAAGGAGAATTGTTGCAATGAACTTGGTTTCCTACCCTACACTTTGGCATTTAACTGTACGAATAAAATTGTGACTCCATAACATCAATATACTGATATGGCTGATATCATGCCACAACTGTTTGACTTAGTAACCTAAGTGGTCGCAAGGTTCATGAATTGGTTGGGGAAGAGATCCACCCAGAAATCTTCGCAACATGAATCACTCCACTAATTTTTGTATCAGGTCCCAAAATTGCAAGTTTGATCACATCGACCATTGCAAATAACTGAAATATAATCTTGGATGTTACAAGATGTTTAGAAGTTCTTTGAGCTTTGAATTGGTTTGTGTACTTAAAAAAAACTGCAATTAGGTTCATCATAATTAATTAACCCCGACCCCACCTTCATCTCCAACATAAAATATGTCAGTGGGCCTTTTGATTTTTGAATCTGGATGGTACCAATACCATCTGCCAATGGGGTTTTGGGGCAAGTACAGTTAGATTTAGGTGCGGGTCGTACAATTGTTGTACTTTTTCATGATTTGATATACATTTACATGACTTTGTTGTATTTCATTATTTGGTGAAATTGAAGTCTGAAATCTAAAATTTAAAGTCTGAATCCATTAAGTAATTGAATTGTTAAATACAAAATTCGATACATTTGAATGTATATCACATTAAGTGAGAAGTGAATAACTTATCACTTATTTTTTGGAGTAAATTTTGCTTAACAAATTCAGTGTCACTTAATTAATTCAGATGTTTTATTTTTTTTGTTATCAAACGCGCTTAAACATGTTAAATTATGAACCCACTAATTTAAATATTAAATTAGATTATCAAATGAAAACTTAACATAAAATACAATAAAGTTACGTAAATGTATATCAAATTACGAAAGAAGTACAATAGCAGTATGGATGCACCTAAACCTAGCCATACCTGCCCCATCCCCCTTCCAATGTGAGCCAAAAATGTTGGGAATTACGTAGTGATAATGAAGGGAACTAGAAAGTGGTGCTGATAATAGTAGTTTAAACACATGCTTCATCAGCCATGATTGCCCTGGTTGAGCTATAAGAGTGATGGCTCTAACTTTTCGTGTGGCCTAAATCCCTATGCAGTACTCAGCCCACGAGCGCATGCCCCAACAATGTTTGTAATCCATGTTACGCCACTAATGTTCACCAGTAGCTGTTAACCATATCCATCTTTTCATATTTGATTTTTTGTTCTTTCTCCCAAAAAAAAAAAAAATTAGATCCCATTTGGATTTGCTATTTTTAGAATTTTTTTTTTAAAAAAAATATACTATAACAATTTGATGTATATATGTTAAAAGAAAATTAAAAAATATGTTAACGGAAAAAGTAAAAAAAAATTTCTTAGAAAACTGCAATTCAGACAAGAATTGTTTTAGCACATAGGCTTTTGCCCCTCCAAATTGAACATATCATCACAGAAGCAGGGTCTTTTGTATATTATTTAAAAAACAAATTGCATAAGGTTGATAATTTGTCTCAAATTATTAACCACTCTAATGTGTTTAATTCACAGGTAAATGCGATTGTCATTTAAGTTGTTAAATCAATTTATCTTGTCATGTACTTAAAACCTTTTGATCCCCGAATAAGCAAATATATTCATTATTTAAATCAAGATTTTGTTCTTTATAACTATAGTGTAGATTACTTAACTGCCTTGTTAGATGTGGAGTGCCTTAAAATACATAGTAAAACGGTCTTTTTGGACACTCAAGATACTTATAAAGAGGGAATTAAAAAGTTTAGTAAAGTTAAATAACATATGTTATATGAGTAATACGCTCATTTACACGAAATCGGAGAACGTTTGGACAGAGTGTTATTTGAAATATTATAAAATAACTATTATTATATTTTTTACGATATGATGTATGTGAGATAAAAAAAATAATTGAAAGATTAAAAAAATATGATTGAAAAACTTATTTGTAATGCAAGCACGAATATTTATTTCAGATAATGACTTATCCATTAATGTTTTTATACAACTATATGACTACACCATATAGATACTTGTTCTCAAATCGACCATTTGACTCCCCATTTGTCAAAAAGACCAGAAATTTTGAAAGAACAATCTAGGCAGGGACCATTTTCAATTCCTTTCATTGCTCAATTCTCAAGCTAAAGACAAATTCTAACATCCCTACTTGAACAATACGTGGTGTTTTCTTAGCTGCCTGCCCAAATGTGCTAAACTCGTACTGTCCCAAGCCTCTCAATTAATGAGCTCACCTGCATGTCCCCAATTATATATATATATATATGGATTAATCTTTCCTACACTGACAGTTATATATATACATATAGATCAATCATCATTTCCAATTATCTTTTTTCGAGCATTCTTTTTACATCAAAAACACCAATAAATAAAAGTCTTTGTTACAATATTGTCATTTCTTCTTGTCTTGCATATAATGGCCTCTTTTATCTTTTTTGCCTCTTTATTATTTTTTTCCATTTTCTTTCTCCCATTGGCATGTTCCCTCTTGCAATCTCTTAATTTGTATGTCACATAAGTGAATTATTGGCCAGCATTTCTTCAATTTGTCAACCAAAAAAATGCCTGTTCAAAGTCTATGTCTCTGCATTATTAATTGAGTTGAGTATGACATGTCATGATTTATTAATTAATTAAATGTTCCTTCTCTATATCAACTTATTGCATGCCAACCAAAACCACAAATTTGTACAAAGTCAGCCAATCTTCTTGTGAGTAATGTTCATCAAAGTCACATGTCATGACTGGCAAGTTGATCACATTTCCTTTCTTCCTTTTTTTTATTCAAACAAATGACATAAGGTAAAGAAATAGGTTGAAGAAATACCAATTAAACTAACTAATATGGTTAATTAGGACTTTGGTGCTTGATGGAATGAATATGGCAATTTATGTAGCTTTGTTATTCCAAGAGTGCTTGTGTTTTTTTCTAATCATGACTAATTTTCTTGACAAGTTCATCATACAAAGCAAAGTGCACCAAGGCAAAGATTTTTAGATGGCACAATGGTTGAAAAAAAACTTGCGTGAAAGACTGAAAGTACAAATTGAAACTTCGTCCTAAAATCCCATTTTGGAACTTGTCAAGCAGCATACATGATGAGGTAATGAACTAAGATTAGATTAAATTACACCATACATAATAGTGCTAGAACAGATTTATCTTGGACATCATTTGCATGAGTACATTGGAAGAATTCAAGTTTAAGTAAAAATTTTCTCGTTTGGATTGTCATTTTCTAAATCTTTTATAAAAATATATATTATAACGACTTAACGTATACGAAATAAAAAGCTGTTTGACTAAATGATCACGAAAAACGTAAAAATTTTCTCTAAAAAAACTTCAATCCGAGCAGATATTTTCTAGAAGGAAGATAGAAGCTTGGGTGCAAGTAAAGATGATTTGTCAATTATGATGTTACACTTGTTACAACCAAACTTCGAATACAGACTGAGCACCACACACCAAAAACTCTTTTGACTTTCATTTCATAGGTCATTCATTAATGCTGCGACGGATATCTTAGGACAAAATTCTTTTACTTTTCCTCGGGAATTGACCATAATCTTCTCAAAGCAAAGATTTTATCCTCAAGCAAGAACAAAAACCTTTACTTTTTCCCCCTAGGCCTTGGCAATTGTCATGGGATTTGGGATACATTTTTGTTGTTGACATTTTCTCTCTCTTTTGGCATTTTTGTTTTACGAATTTTTGTCGATTTTATCTCTCTTTTAGCATTCTAACAGATACACTTAACCCAAGAAAAAGAAAAAAGAAGGCAAGTGTAACACTAAGGACCTTATATAGGGTGGCAAGTGAAATTCTCAAAAACCCCATATAAGATTTGTGGAATTATCCCTAGAAATTGACAGGCAAAAGCATAGAGCCTGAAATTTTGACTTGAGGTGTCTTGAATCAGGGGATATGGTTGCTCGTTGGCAATTTGGTGGGCCTTCAAGTTCAATATGATTATTATCTTTTTCTTTTTCTTTAATTTTTTTCCTCACTACCCTTTCCTTCTCCATGGAATTATCATCAGGAAAGATGCAAATTGAATCCCTCTTTCTTTAAGAGAGAGTCTAAATAAAAATTAAAAGCAGCTGATGATTATCACTCCAATATTTCACAAACAGAACCCAAGTATAGAAAAAAAAAAAAGGAAAGAGTTAAATAACAAAAGGAGAACAGGTTAATTGTCTGTAGGAACATTTCTTGGAAGCATTATTGTATTAAACTTGCCATTCTGAAAATAGAAAGTTATTGCCTGATATGTTGGTTTCTTCTTCTTTCAAAATTTTTTATCCTGATATGCATAGGACAAAAATCTTTGTGAAGGGATTTGATGTAGGAAGAGGAATAACTGATAACTTGTGGGGAGTGTCCAAGAAATTATTGCAAGGAACCTGTAAAACAGCAGAC